TAAAAAAGTATACACACAGGCACACACACAGACAAAGGTAGATTAATGCCAGCACACTGAAAGGAGCCCGTTTCAAATCCATCTGAAAGCCAGGCTCTGGCTGAAAGAGATCCTGCTGCTGAGCCACCAGCACTGACCTTGAAAGAGGCATTAACGCAGGGCAGTTCTCCGCCCTGCGCCGTGCGGGAAGTGAAGCCAGATGATCACAACGGTCCCTTGTGGCCCCACAGTCCATGAATCTCACATCAGACAGCACCAGCAGTGCAGCGATAGCTATATCTAGTGCCTCATCCTGTTCCTTCTCATTTTCTGCCTCCATATATTCCCACTAAGGTAACATGTGTCATCAGCTCATTAGGCACCTTTGCACCAGCCACTCTCCGCAAGGACATGCCCAGAGCAGAGAGAAAGTTGATAAAGCTGGTTGCCTGTAATATTTCTAGAGCAATCATTGCCCAAGAGCAGTGGCTGTGACTGCACATCCTTACATCTGGCACGGGCTGTGCATCTGGCGTCTCCCAGTTGACAACACAAGAGTCATTTCTTTATCATTCAGCAGTTCCTTGTAGTCCCCCAAAAACTGGGAACATAAACACTGACAGCAGATACATGGTACGGACGGATGGGTCAGTCAGAGCAACAAGCAACGGCAAGGCAATGAAAAGCAGATTGGTTTGCAATGTGGTCACAGAAGGAGGAAGCTGACGTTCTTGGCCCTACACTCGTCCGCGTAAATCAGCGCAGCCCCGTAACGGCATTGTCAGCTTTCATCAGCGGAGCCCACGGCTTTTTTCTTCATTTCAAAACTTGCAGCAATAACATGAATGCTGATTTTCAATCCAGCTGCACTGCTTAGATCACATTTATTAAAGTCTTTGAGTTTCTATTAAAAGCTGTGTTTTTGCAGGATTTATAAATCAGCTCACAAACCTAAAATTGGGCATGAAGAGCTATGGGCTAGAATTGATTTTTTTTAATGAAATCATTTGGGGACATTTCTAAGTTTTTCAGAATGCAGTAATTATAAAGAAATGTGATTATAACTGACTCTTTGTGCTACTATCATTTCTTAACACACTATAATTTTTTAACTTTTTTTTTTTAAGACACAAGATATTTCAATTTTTAGTGTGAAGCAAAATTGCTTTTCTGGAGGAAAAAATACTTCATAGTAAATTTATCCACTAAAAATCCTAGCTTGTAATTTTAGCAATTTGGTTAAAACTACCTCATAACTAGAAACTATTCCTCTAAGATCAACGAGATACTAGCATGAGTAAAGCGAAGTCATTATCTGCCCATCTGAAATAGCTGGATAGATCACAGTGGCAAGTTGATCACCAACATGCCATTTGTCAATGCTCAGGTTTTCTAAGAAGTCCATGGTGATTAGGCAAATAAGTGCTGGCAGGAACTCCATCATACCTTTACCCTCCAAGACAGCAATTGATAAGAATTTTGCCATTAACTTCCCTGAGTACTGACTTCAGGTTTCCATGGTCCAAGCCCGTGTTTCTCAGTTTTAGATGGCCATCCTGAACACTCTGCAGTGATTCTGTATTTGCAGTCTTCCTTTTTCTTGGGCAAGTTTTAGTCAAAGGTACTTTAATGATGCTTTCTGTGGTTGAATTCCTTTTTATTAGCTGGGTGACATCCAGTCAGACCATTTCCAGTGACCTCTGTTTTGCAGTTTCTAATTTTATGTGAAGTCTTTGGTAGAATTTAGAACTTCCTTTAATAGACATAAATCTGCTAGCTTTAAAAATTCAAGACATCTAATAGCAATTGATTTTTATGATGTCTGTAGAAACCAGCAACACCTGGGCTCTAGCTGCGACGCTGTTCTCCTTTGGTAGGGGGTGAGGGTGGAATTAAGAGCTCTGCAAAAGCGCAAGGTGAGAATCCATTTGCTTGTGACATACCAGTGTGGCAGCCTCATGCTTTATACAGGGTATTTTTCACTTTTGCAGCCTTTTGTAAAAGTGAGATATGTTCCTACGTTCCTGCACAATTCAAAACCTCAAATATACAGCTGGCATTGAAGCACTGAGAGTGGTTCTGTGAATGGTCCCACCAAATGCCCTCTGAGCAAAACAGGTCTTCAGCGTTTGAAAATCTGGTCTCTAACGCAAGCAATGAGGGCCGTGATGTGAAGACACGGGTATGGAGGTAAGTCTGTATCTCTATTTATCTGCTTCGGAAAATTTTGGTGCAGTAATTCTGTGGCACAGTTTCACTTGAGTTCATGTACGATACTCCTTGGTAACTTGCAGCATCATTATTATTTGCTACTGCAGATGTCATACGAATAAAGGCCAAACCTACTTGTAGGAACTAATAGGCAAAGGTCAAATTTTGGCTTTTCTTAAACTAATAGTAAAATATCTATTGACTTCAATGGGGCCAGCACTTCAGCCGAGCTGACTTTGCAAGTTCACTCACATAGGAGGAGCATTTACTTGTAGCAAGGTGCTGGTAGTTAAAAACTTGCACTGAGATGCAGGAGCCTCTGCTTCCTCCTTAACCCCAGAGGTGCAGAGCCATTCTCCTGGACCTTGCACAGAGACACAGCTCAGTGGCAGCCAGAGCAGGCTTTAGGGACACAGGACTGGAAGGGCTTTGATCACCGCGTCCCTGAGTCCAGCCGCCTTTTACTGCAAACACCCAGGCACGTAATCACTTAGATAGCTGATAAAGCTCCATTTTAACAGTAATCAGATTTCTTTGTCCCATTAGTCTTACTGAGAAGCTATTCCAAAATCTCACTGATCTGATGTTAGAAATCTAATTTCCAGCCTCGATGCATTCATGGCCAGTTCATCCTCATTTGTTCTTGTGCCAGCTCTGTCATCTAACTTAAATAGCTCTTCTCCCTCCTAGTGTTTACCCTGTTGTATTTATAGATGGCAATCATACTCCCTCTCAGCATTCATTTTGCTAGATAAAAGAAGCCAAGCCTTTTTTTAGTCTCTTCTCATATGCTCCCCCTTATCCTCCCACTTGCTTTTGCCTGCATGTGTTCCAGTCTGAGCGCTCCACTAGCACAACTAACCAGTCCTGTATACACCAGGAGGATTTTAATACCTCCACTCATACTTATTTCTCAGCAACTTCAAAGTTTTTACCTTCAGGACATGCGTAGGGTCCTGAGCAGTGGCCAAATGTCTGTCTGGCAGAGGGGAAATGAGGAGGTGAGACACCTTCCCTCTGGTCCTAGAAGAGATGTGGAAAGGCTTGGCACTGCTCCCTTCTATGAAGACAGACCTGTCTCAAACTGTGATCCTCAGTGCAATGCTGGACCTTTTAGCTTCTGCTGTCAGTCCTCCCTGCTCACCTTGCTTCCCTAGTGAAGTACCCACTGTGTACACTGAAGAGCAGCAGGGTCAGTAAATGCAGCTAACAGCGTAGGACAGCTGTGCTCGGTGCCCTGCAGCCAGACTGACCCTTGTTGAGCTGGTACAGGGCTGGGAGAGGAAAGCAGAGACAGTAGGAAAGAAAATAGAATTAATATGTGTACAGTTGGGTGAGAAAAGAGAACAGGAAAATGGATATGAGAAAAAACAGGTAATAGAATAGAGAGAACACCAAGGGAAGAAGAGAGAAAAGGCAAAATAAGACAGAAAGAGAGAAGAGGATGAGGGGCTGGGGGAGCACGCAAGAGAGAAAGCCTTCTCAAACTGGAGCAGGGCTGCATCTCCCCATTGCCGTCTCTTTGTACCTTTGCCCAAGTTGTCTCTCTGAAAGAAGTGGTAGAGGAATGGCTCCAGTCCACAGCCTCAAGGCATGATCTCCTTTGAGCACAGGGAGGATAATACATCCAGGGCTCTGGCTCAGCAGTTCAGAGATTCCTTTGCCATTTTTTTTTCATTTTGCATCTGTGCTGGTTCCTTTGTGACCCCAGCTGGCACTATAAAGAAATGAATCCTCCAAGTACAACTTGTGCACATTTCCCTGCAGAATGTGGGAATGGCACCAGACAAACTGATTTGGAAATGAAACTCGTTAAGGCAGCCATTAGGGGCTTTATATGCTCTTTTGTCTTAATTGGCTGGAGAACTGCATAGACAGAAGAAGCATATTTTTGGCCATCCTCAGCTATTTGGTACTGCAAAGCATTCTCATGAATAAGTAAGATGGTGGGAAATCTAAAGGAAAAGTCAGGCCACATATTTTGGTAAGTGCCCTAAAAATACCAGATCCATTGTTTTTTCTTTTTTAAATATCAAGACAACCTGCTGACTGACTACTGATAGCCAGTACTACAGGAAGGCAAGTAGCTTCCAGCCTAGTCCAAATGCATCACGGGGGTTTTAAACCTTTTCAGCAGCTTAATATTTGAAGTAGCTCTGTGAGATGGCACTGCAGGCTGGGAAATCAGGATAGGTGCTTGCTTTGACCTTTTCTGAATTCATTTAAATAACTGCAACAGGATTAGTGGTCCAAACCCACACTTATGGTGTTCATCCTAAATTTGACATTATGAGCATTTGCACTTTCAATTTGGGGAGCAAAAATGCATGATGCAAGGGGACCATCTACATCGGAAAACATATTTACACATCTGTCTAAACTTTTCTCCAAGAAACCTCTGGAGCCAGCCTTTTTATTACATTTTAATGAGGACTTCTTTTAATGATCAAGAAATGACTTACAGGAGTACATGTAGAAATATTTTTGCATACCCTATCTCATAGAATAGTGTCTTTTTTGCATTAACCTTGTTCTCACAGCTTTCTAGTTAGCAGAGCTACATTTGGATTAAGGTGACACAGCCTGCAAGTACCATCATTTTTAAAGCTGACAACCTTGATGAAATCAATTGCATTTCCTTTTGCCTCTGCTCCCTACCCTTTGCCCCACCTTGGCTTATTAAGGCTCTAAAGGAAGAGCTGTCTTACCATTTACCATATCTAGATCTATTGCTAAAGTGGTGAATTGAGTAATAGTGTTGTCCATGAATGGTCCTAGGGAATCAATAGCAACATATGATAAGTAAGGTGCTCCTGGATATTCGAGCCATACAGTCTGAATAGCTCTGCTGGAGAGCCATAAGTAACAGCAGAGCTCTCAGAATGCCCCTGGATGAGAACAGTGCTCAGAAGCACCCTAGATACCTTGTTGCATCTATCCGCTTGTCTGTGTCAGCAG